ATGGCAGTTTAGCAATGGAATGCTATCCTACAAGGGACGGACGTTATGTACCACCCAAAGAACGACAAAATATAGTAAAAACAATCCACGAATTACCGGGATCTGGACACCCGGGCATATTAAGAACCAGGGAACTTTTATCTAGAGAATACTGGTGGCCCGGCTTAGCCGCATTTGTACGTAACTTTGTTCTTGGTTGCGCGGCATGTCAACAAAACAAAATCAACACGCACCCCACGATACCGCCCTTAAACCCAATCAGATCCGGCCACACATTACCATTCAAACAACTCTCAGTCGACCTAATTACAGACCTTCCTATATCACACGGATACGATTCTATTATGGTCATAGTAGACCACGGACTTACAAAAGGGGTAATCATCATACCATGCAACAAGACAATCGACGCTGAAGGAGTAGCAAAACTATTCTGGAACCATGTGTTCAAACGTTTTGGACTTTACGACAAAATAATATCTGATAGAGGCCCCCAATTCGCATCAAAGTTTGCGAAAGAACTGGGAAAACTATTAGGATACGACATCTCCCTGTCTACCGCGTACCATCCCCAATCCGATGGAGAAACTGAACGCGTAAATCAAGAAGTCGAAACCTATCTAAGAATATATTGCCAAGGAAGAGCACACGCATGGGCAAAAAGCTTAACCATGGCGGAATTCGCTCACAATAACAATGTCCACATGGCAACCAAACAAACTCCGTTCTATCTCATGTTTGGTTACCATCCCGAAAATATTCCCACTGTGAGAACTAAAACCAAAATACCAGCAGTAGAAGAAAGAATAGCAGCTCTCGGAAAAGCACGGGAAGAAGCATCGGCGGCTCTAGACCTATCAAGAAAAGTCATGAGCGAACGAATACAGTCCAAGTTTATCCCATGGAAGAAGAGAGACAAAGTATGGCTGGAGGGAAGAAATTTGAAATTAAAATACGACAACCGAAAACTTGCGCCAAAACAGGAAGGACCATTCAAAATCACAGAAGTCCTATCTCCGATCACATACAAACTAAAGTTACCAGACGCATGGAAAATCCACAACGTCTTCCACGCCTCATTACTAATGACAGAACGTGAGACGAGAGAACACGGACCCAATTTCTCCTTCCCACCACCTGAAATCATAGATGGGGAGGAACAGTTCAAAATTGAAGCCATAGTAGGATCACGATTGAACAGAGGTAAAGCAGAATACAAGGTGAAATGGAAAGGAGAACCTTCGTCAGAAAATGAGTGGGTTACCGAAACAGAACTGGAAAGACATGCAAAGGAACTCCTCCAACAGTATAAAAAGGAGACCAGGCAAACAAGACGAACCAGCAACCTAAACAGCTACCAACCCACCATCCAACTCAACAAACTATGTCTTCCTTCGTCATGTCTTTCGTCAACAACGACACGGTCACCATCAACAGGCACGGTCGGGAGAGCACCTTCAACAAAACCATGCTCCACGACATGCTCCTCCTCCGCTCTCCAGAGGACGAAGAAGCCCACCTGCGCTACTCCACCCTCCGCACCGTCTTCGATGACCCCGCCAAGTCCCTGGCCATCCTCGCCAACCTCTCCGACAGCCCCCACACCACGGTCGGGGTCATCATCGGCGCCCTCCTCAGTCACCTCGAGGACACCGACACCCGCATCCGCAAAGTCAACAGCAGCAACTACGATGCGGTTGTCAACGCCAAGTTCAAGACCATCCAGGACCTCTGGCACATCAAACAGGGGTTCATCAGAATCCTCTCGGCGTTCGACATCGAACATTTCATCGACCAACTCGACAACCAGCGCATCGGGGCGGCAACCAGGGTCCTCAACGGCCCTCGCAACCGCACCATCAACCTGGCTCCCAGGCCAGCCGAACCAAGGCGCCAACACACTGGTAGGGGTATTCACACCCACCATCGCAACGACAACGCTAATTCAAATTCATCCTACTTCCCAGTGCCTCGCCATATCCCCGCCGAGATCCGTCCTTGTCAACCCCGAGCCAGGACCCCCTACCCTTTCCCTCGCCCGGTATCAGTACTTAAGTGCTGGTTCTGCAAGAAGGAAGGACATCGGCAGCGCTACTGCCCGGACCGCCTCTGCCGCAAGTGCTGGCGCATGGCACCTGGGCACAGGACCGCCAACTACCCCGAGCATAACCGACCTCGCCGGGTCTATCCCACCACCGACGAGCCGGCAACCCCCGCAGGATGGGGGACGGAGGAAGGGGGTGACCCGTGGTCCCCGGAGAGGGTGGCGGCATCAGGGTGGAATGCAGGGGAGGATGATCAGGACAGGAGTTGGCAGACCCCGGGGGAGGAGATCGTCATGCCGGGGAGTGGAACCAGTACGCGCCCCACTCGCCGCTGGAACCGCACCTGTCACAGCGCTGCTGACCAAGTTGCCATGGACAACGCAGTCAACGAGGTCGGCGACATGGTCAACAACTTTGAAGTATGGTCAGCAGTCGAAGGAAGGGAGGAGAATCGGGACAAGTCGGCGCTTGCGATGATCTGGGGGGAGATTAGCAAGAGTTTCGATCAGTGGCGCGAGGAGTTGGCAAGGCAGGAGTCGGAGAGGGAACTTCGGTATGTGGATGACGTGGTTATGGTTCCCAAGGAACCCGAGGTCGCGGCTTACGAGATAGTTGATGACGAGGACATGCCCGAGTTAGAAGCATGTGAGTAGATCGAGATTGAGTCATCTCAAATCTACAGAGGGGGTTATGTTATGACACGCTTTTTCTTCTCTTACCTAAAGAGGCAGGACCTCTAACCTGTACAATATATCAGGAAACTGGTCTGTGCGCATTCGTATCTTTGTATATAAGGCTCGCTCTGCTCGCCCATGTAACACAAGCTAGTCCTACCTTAGGAATACTAGTCAATCTGATACCACTCTCGATACTACCTAGTACACGATCTAAGATTACCACTAAGACTAAGAACCGCATCGTCGCTGACGACTTACTAAGAACCCTTCAACATTGTCCTCTTCGACAACCACGAACCTTTGACGTCGTCAACCACGGTGACGACTAGGATTCCATATAAGGTCAAGACGCAGTCTTAACAACCATAAAATGACTAACTTCCCCTTCCTATTAAAAATGTACAGAACAAGGCTCTCCACCAAGCCCCCATCTTCCAACCAGACAAACTTGTAATAGTGTGGGCTGTTGCATGGTCAGTTGAATCCATTGCTTACTTTGTATGGGCCTGGGAGCTTATTCCTCATTGAAGGTTTTGATGGATCCACAGCAGTAGCATACTGTAACAGTCATACCATAAATTTCCATCACATAAAAACATAAATGGAAACAAAAGTTAAACTGTAAGAAAATCCCACCTAAATATCAAAAATAAAATTTAAGGGCAAACAAAAAAGGACTCTAACACATTATTATTTCTAGGCACATCATTACAACCCATAAAATAGGATTTTCATTAGAATCATTGAAATATGTTATCATTGGCAATCAAATGGCATTACATTGAACCTGAAAGTCCAGGAAGGTTTATAAATGTATGCAGCAAAAGTTACTGTTGGATTCAGTTTTTTTGGAATGCAAAAATATTCTGGGATTTTCATAGCATCCCAATGCATCAGAATGTAGGGCTTTCAAAAGCATTTAAACTCTCTTTTATACAGTTGTGACATAGATACCCTCAGGAGCTGATATGTGGAGCAACCAGTAAAAAACATTTTTTAATAAAATAAAAAGTGTTCAACAAGGTGTGTATGTGTGTTAATAATATATACAAATCAGCTCAATAACATACCTGACAGGTATGCAAAACCATATTTTATAATGACTGTTAAACCTGCATGTTTTAGCTTTAGCATAACCTGTCAAATGTCATTTTAAATACAATGTGTGTCTACACACGGATACATCTTGACAAGTTATAATAACATCATGATAACTAAAGATAAATAGATAGGCCCAAGAATGGTAATATTTCTGTAGTGAAGGGGACTGCAAACAAGCATAACAAACCTGAGAAGATAGTGGATTTAACAAGGCTAATTGAGTATTGATGTTTCTTGTATTTAGTGCAGTTTAGGACAGTGAAGAGGAACTGTAGGTTGCCTGCCTAGTTACCTCCAGTGGCACATAGCAAATGAGTGTACTCGTTACTGCATTAAGTAACTGGAATCGCGCAACGCGTCTCTTGTACCTAGTTTTTTTTTCCACTTATACACTGCATGTCCCCTCGCATCCTTCACAATTCACCTAAGAAGAATCGGTAAATTGGCCTTCTGGCCAAGATGTCTATTGCAGAGGCTGCACACCTCATGAAAATTCCCTCATCAGCTGCACATGACCTTGCTCATAAATACTGCAAAACTGGGTCCACGCACAACAGACCCAAATGCGGGCGACCCCAGTGGGTAACCGACTGCATGAAGTGTTACATCGTCCAGCAGGCCCTCAAAAACAACTGGATGCCATTTCAGGAGCTTGGGAAGCTCATTGACCCCCCAGCTTGTGAGAACACAGTTAGAAAGATTCTCGCCAAGAAGGGCCTGCACAGACGCAAGGCATGGTCTGTTGTCTTCCTCACCAAGGCATAGAAGGCCAAAAGACTCACATGGGCAAGAAGCTTCCAACATTGGGACATGCAGAAGTGGCATCAGAACATCTGGTCAGATGAATGCTATGTCAAGCTGGGCAACAACTGAAGAAATGTCTATGTGACACGGCAACCACAGGAAGAATACAAAGAAGAAAATGTTGTACCAAGATTCAAGAGGCCACAGAAGGGGATAATGGTGTGGGGATGTATTATGGAGGGGAGAAAAGGGCCATTGGTTGTTCTCAAGTATCCAGGAGGGAAGGGGGGGTGACAGCAGCCAGGTACCGTGATCAAATTCTCGAGCCCCACCTCCTTCCATTCTACAAATCCATGGATGCCGAGAGGGGTCAGGTGTTGTTTCAGCAGGATGGAGCGCCGGCACACACTCAGAAACTCACCCAGAAATGGTTCAAAGATCACGCAGTGCTCCTCTTTCCTCACCCCCCTAATTCTCCTGACATGAGCTCCATAGAACCCATCTGGTATGTCTTCAAGGACAACCTATGATGTTGTGAACATACCCCAACATCAGTAGAAGAGCTTATAAAGGCAGCATACAAGGCTTGGGAGCAGATTCCCCAGGAGAGGATAGATAGGGAGATTATGAGGATGCCGACAAGGATTCAAATGGTTTTATCTCACAAAGGTGGCCACACTTGTTTCTAGATAGATGATAACATATAATTAGAGTTATATTCATGATTTTTGATACATGCATGGGGTTTCCAAAGAGAGAGACTTGAAATAAAGTGTCTGGAGGAAGGGGAGGGGCCGGACGTGAGACACAATTCTGGTTACTTAATGCGGTAATGAGTAGAGGTGACACGAGAACATACCAAAATGTTCTACATAGCTTGAAAGAAAAGCCATGTCAGGCCCATCTGCTATTACAATATAGACATATAAGTCTGAGCCATAGACAACCTGTATAAATTTGTCAAAAACATGCAGTTCCTTAAACTGAATAGCAGAGGTATAATAGAGTTCAGGAAACCAGAATAAGTCAAAGTTCTTAGGTTTTTTGGGGGCTTGGTATGACCGCACCAGAGAGGACATCCCTCTTTTTGTAGCAGTTCTTAGGGCTAAGGCCAAAGAAAACCTAGATAAAAATCCAGCAGTCTGAGTGCTCAGACTTATAGAGATGAGTTCTGTCAATGGAGAACATGAGGATGGTGTTCCCTGTTTTGATGTATCTGCTGTCAAATACTTGTTTATATTGCTCACCCTTGAAAATGTCATTGTAGACTTAGTGGTTGGTAACACACACTTTTTGAAGAGCTGATATGCATTTACCACAGTATTGCATGTAAGTCACACTGTTGGGGTGCCATCAAAGAGTCTGAATCTAGAACCCAATAAGGATAGTTGTGAACATGTGTTGTGAAGTCTTCTACTTGTTGGGACTTGTGCAGGCTCCATGATATTCCTCACCATACCTGGGGCACCAATTGCAGTTTTTGAGAGGACCATGAAAGTGGCACATGTATTGACACATATGCTCTTCTACATCCCCAACCCCACTTAGTCACTCAATCTTGTTGTGAACACAATGTTACTTTTCCCTCATCTTTGCCTCTCACTGTATTAAACTTCATCATGTCCTCAAGCTCTGGTGGTGTTTGGTATTGATCCCTTTTTATGGAAAGCAAGACTGAGGGTGGTGTAGCCAGCTCAGGCACTCAGCTGAGGAGCCAGAGAGTGCAATCTGTCTACAATATGTACCTTCAAGACCGCATCATGAAAAAACAAGAGGCAGATGCCCAGGCAGGGTTTGTTCCTTGTTCTTCTGATGTTATTACAGATGCTGGTATGTGACCCAGATTATTATATCTGTATTCCTTCTTGTCCTGATTTATGCAATCTGGGCTTGGGAGCCAAGGCAGCCCACTAGTTTGCTTATGCTGGGAACAGTACAGCCATGAATACAAGGATGTACAGAAAACTGGCTAAATCATCTTAAGATATGTGTACCACAATCTATTAATATTTATGGTTAGAGTACTTTAGGATGTGTACACTCCAGCCACCTGACATATACAGGGAAGCAGCTGAGGTGCAGGCAAGGGGAAAACATGTAGCCATGAAAGTAGAGGCAAGCAATATTTATTTTTCCTCAGTATCCTCCACCTCCCCATCCTTTGCTATGTCCACACTACATTCTGTTGTACTTCCAGGTGGTCTACTTCATACTACACCATCTTCCATGTCCATACTTCCTCTTCAGTCACTTTCCAAGCTATTGCCAGCCAATTATGCAATATACTGCATAATTAGTTATGCATAGCCTTGTCAGCAAAATTATACATAATGAAATTGATTATAGCCAATCATAGCCACACTGTAGTGGTACCATAGCCTTATTCTTGTAATCCTAAACTGCTCAGAATCTGCTTCTTAACCAAAAAAAACAGTTCTCATCAATTTCTCACATGGCTTGCTTGAAGTGTGGACCTGAGCTGCCTGGAAATCAGGCTCAGCCTTCCAAACATGTCAAGACAGCAGACAACTCCTCCAATTGTTGCCCAAAGTGGAACAACCTGACAACTGAACAATGGCTCTATGTCTTCAAATACTGGGATTCTCACAAAAATTTGATGAGTCAAACAGCTATTGCTAACCATTTTCAGTTACTCAAAACACAGGCACTTGAATTTAATCAGGGATTAATTTCCCATACTTTCAAGAAGTACACAGATTGAAGCTTGTGCTCATGCAACTCTGACTGGCCTTTTAACAAAGAAGGACTGGGTTGTCAAAGCTCCCGCAGTGGAGCATGCACTGTATGAGCGGGTGCAACAGATAGAAGCTAAAAATAAAACAGTTTCTGACCCATGCTCTGTGAGAAACAGAGAAGATTTGAAGAAGTCTACAAGGTGCTTGATAAGAAGTGCATGAAGAGTGATACCTGGTTACAAAATCTCTGCAAGGCTTTCAAAACCCGAGAAATTTGCTGACATGGAGAAGCTGGTTCAGTTGACCAGGAGGCTGTCAAGGCAGAGCAAAAGTGTTGCTAGCAGCTTAATGCCAAATATGCACTGTGTGATTGTTAGAATATTAATGAAACATTCTGATATCCATGTAATCATTTGATCTTTGTTTTTTGGTAAATAATAACTCTGCACTAGTGCACCTCCAACTCGGGGCTTGGCAACCTAGAAGATCAGTGGGAAAAAGCAGGACAAGTTCTGGCTCACAATTGCCATTGCCTGCAATGCTGATAACTCTGTAAAATTTGAGCCACTTTTCATTGGAAAAGTAGCCAGACTTCAGTGTTTCTATGGTTGCAGCCCTGAGCAACACAGCTATTATTATAAAAACAATAAGAATGTGTGGATGACTTCAAATTTCTTTGAAGAGTAAGTTTTTATAAAACTCTGGTCATAATCAAAATAATATATTTCAGATGGGTTAAGTGGCTTGATTTGAAGATAAAACAAGAAAAGCACTATATAATCTTATGAATGAACAATTTCTCAGGTCATTACTTTGACTACAAGCCCCAGAATATTGAATTGACTTATTTTAAACCAAATATGACCCCATTTGTCCAATCCTGTGATAGTGGTGTCACCCATTACTTCAAAGCTTTTTACTGCTGAGCATCTTGCAAGGATGCAATTGATCTGGACAAAAAAACAAAAAGAGCAAATCTACACCATCAATCTCTTGATGCCATGATATTTGTCAAAAAAAAAACAGTTTTGAATGCAATTGCTTTGGAAAAAAAAAATGGTGCATTGCTGGAGGCACACTCCAATCCTGCCATGAGTTTGTTTGTTTGTGTGTTGTTGAACAAACACTTACCTTCCATTTTGGTGAGGCTTTTATTGATGGACTGCTGGGTGAATTTAAAAAACCTCCCATCTTCATCACAGTCAACCACACCTCATACCAATAAAGGGGCTTGAAAAATCATGAAAAAGTTTGTTACTACCAATCTTACACTTTCAAATGCAGAAATCCAACCTAAAGCTCATCTTGACAATCACTACAATGATTCTGACTGGAAGCCAGCACTTGAAGCTGTCATGGCAGCCAAAGATGACAGTTCTTTTGCCTTGGAGTTAATTCACCCACTCCAAAATGCAGCAATGGTCCATCGTGGCCTGGCTTTAAGATTACAATCCTCCTCAAAATGCTCCAGCTGCAAGATGCCAAAAAAAATTGAATGCTTTTATTCAAAAGCTCGAGACACAAAACCATATTTCTGGAGCACCTATTACAGTTGATGAATTTGTCAAGATGGCTTAAGACAATATTGCAGATCTCATCCAATCAGATGAAGAGATTGTAGAGAAGGTTTGCCAAAACATTGCCATTGAAAATGGCACTGCAAAGCCTCTTGATCAGCCCAAGGATGATGGCTCTGAAGCTACTTCTAAGCCCTGCACAACAAGGGCAGAAGCAATTAAATTATGTTGGCACTTGAGAAGGCCTGCAAAGACCTGGCTGATGTAGATATTTTGACTACACTACCTAAGCAGCTCCAGGACTTCAGTTCCTGGTTACAACGTGAAAACCTACTCAATGCTAAGCAGAGTTCCTTAGATAATTATTTTTCTAGATAGTTGTTACCTACTGTCATATTTTGTAAAAAGTCAAGTCACACAATTTCAGTGCTTATTGTGGAAATTAAATGCACTTGCATAACACTGAAAATGCATAGGATTTGGAGCAGGCTCATGCCCATGCATTTCCAGTATGTCAACTATATGCAGAAGACGAGCAATACACTCTACTAACAAGGGCAGATTCTGTATATATGTTTTTTCTCATTGCTGGTAAAGGTGTGGTTAAAAACATCTACTGGGTTCATACGTCAGGATGAACACCCCCGCTAGGATGAACACTAATTTTTTCTGGACGTGTAATGCTAGAACCTTACACAAAAGTCTTATGATAACTATGACTACATCCTTGAAAATGCTTACAAAAATCCGGAGCACCAGGAGGTGTCTTGATGACACTCTATGCACTTGAAAGTACAAAATTTACCCCATTTTTGGAAATTTCTCAACATATTGGGTCTTTGGAGCTTGAAAGCATGCTGTTACAGTGTTAAAGAAAATGGGATTGTATCAGGAGGCATCTCACAATGCCATTCAGCATGTCTAGGAGAGGATTGGTAGGATAGGACAAGCACAGAAATTCACAAGTGAAGGAGTACTCAAGGAGGAACTAGGTTTGGCGATATCTTATCTAATCACATGTAATCAAGCCTTATCAGTTTTATGTGGAATCAACTCTGGGATATTGGACCTGGCAACTGTGCCCAAAAGCTGTCCAAAACATTCTGCTAGACACTTTGCAATATGTCAACTACTCGCAAACTTTACTCTATTCTCTCTTCCATTCCTCACTATCCTTACAATAGTTGGCAAGGCTCTATCTGAGAAGTCAAGCAGCATATTGCAATAGAAGAGAAAAAGATATTGGTTCAGAGAGTGGTGAAAAAGCACCAAGAAGAACTCCAGAAGGATGTGTCAGAACAGAAGGACCATAGAAAAGTATGTGAAGCAGTTCAGCAGGAGTATTACAATAAGACAGGAGAGCACATCACCATAAATATGACAATTGTCTGCCAACATCCCAATAAGGTACCCAGCCTGCATGAAATGCGAGCCAGTCAATCACACATCAAGCTGGAGGAAGTTAAAGTTGTTATAGAAGCACTGAATGAGTGTGCGCAATAGGGTTTTTTTGGACCCATGCTAGGCTTGAAAACATAGCAAACAGCCTCATTCGCACTTGGGACTCACTTTTTGCAGGGGTCAGCCACAACTGGACTGCAAGATTCCTCAACTGTCAGCACAAGTCACTTCAAACTATTCAGACAACAACCCTCAAAACAGTCTGAGGTCAAGCTGTCAACCCCAACACACATGCAGCATGGACCAAGCTCCTGGCAAACACAATGCACAAACTCAACATTGAACATGAGCTTATATATGGTTTTGATGAGGTGAGGTTCAACAGTGGTCTCAATGGGCGCACACGAGCTATTGGGGTTTGAGGGGTGAATGGAGTTTACCAGTAGCACACTGGAAAGAGAGAGACTGTTACTGCAATAGTTATTGCAGATGGAACAGCATTGCCACCTGCTGTTATCTTCAAAGGCCAAGGGTACCAAGAAACATGGAGCAATGATAATCCCTTGAATGCATTGTGAGTCTGACACATGTCTCACTTAATAAGCATCTAACATCTACATAGGATTGGATACTCAAAAAAGGGATGGACTGAGAGTATGATCAGGAAAGTGTAGATTCAACAGTTCAATGCACTCACAGTGGGAAAAGCCAGTGGACAACCACACCTTCTCCTGGTCAACAGCCACAACTCTCACTATACTGAAGACTTTATATTTTATGCTTGGCAGACAAACATTCACATACTGTGCTATCCTGATTATGCAACCATTGTCTATCAAAGACTTGATGTAGTCATCTTCACGCAGCTAAAACACTTCTGGACCCTCGAGCAGAACTCACTGCCAGACAAGGTGACCAAGGATAACTTCCTCTCACTCATGGTTTGGCCATGGGTAAAGGCTCTGACACCAGAATCAATCCAGTCAGCATTCCATGTTACTGGTGTTTGGCTGCTGGACCCAAACACAGTCTCTGCTGACAAGATGGCACCTAGTTGGGCTACTGTTGCTTCAGCAGCTATGCCAGTGGTTCAACCAACACCTGTTCATTGGATTAGCTGTTTCTTCAGCTCCCTCAACAACCCTGACTCACAGGGCAACAGCTTGGACATTGATGAGCACAAGATCTTGATGCCACAAGTCCAGAGCATTTACAAGAGCCTTCACCAGTCAGAATTGACCTCATTTCTAGTGGGTGATTCACCCATCAAATTGGCTGCTCACCTTCCAACTGTCACAAGTGTGCACCTGTGTACCTAAGTCCGGAGTACTAGTAGGTATCTACACGGTCTCCTATAAGAGGGACCTCTTTTGAGATTATAACTGTAGTGTATACAGAACTATAGTAATGGAACAGAGTGAAATGGAGGTGGAGTATAGGTGACTGGAGGTAATGGAGGGGAACAAAACAGGACCAGAGGAGAATGGAGGCATATGTAGGTATAGCGTAACAAGTGATATAATGAAATGGGAATACAGGAACTTAACTGGAGTGCTCTGAGGCCCAGAGCTAAAGTACTGGAATACTGGAGTAGCCTCAAAGATGAGCCGTGGGTTCGGAGTTGACACGGAATTAACACGGAAGAGTACAAACAATTATGGGAGGATATGGAGGAGTCTGGAGTGGGGACTGGAGTATACAAGAATTGAAGTTGATATTCAGACTGAAGTACACTAGCCTACACAGAAGGGTTTATATACTACAGCCTAAGTATGAAGTTATAGTAGTTGGGTGAAGGGGGGTGTAGCTCAGCTATGAGGTACAGAAGTAGAATGAAGGGTATGATGTAGGAGGTGTTAACTATGATATCAGAAACACAAGGAAACAATGCAGGAATGATGTAGGAATGTCAAAGGGAATGATACACAAAGTAAAGGTGAGTATATTGTTAAGGGGAACATATTTGGAACATATAGTGAGGTTGAGGGTTAATGATGTAGATCCTTCAGAGGTTTTGGAAACACCAGAGTTGACACAAAACTGAGTGGAGGTGTCTTGAGGCAAGTGTAGGTGTCCGGAGGTACCAGAGATGTTCGGATCTAGTGTTTGTAGGCATGGTGCATGACACCAACCTTCCATCTACCTCCTCTTGACACTACTCCAGCTGACCCACTACATGGATTTATGCCAGAAACATTGAATGAGTTGATGCTTGCTAATGCTCTTCACAAATTCTGGAGTCAAGTATGGCAAGATCAGTGTGCACAGGCATCTGAACGTGCAATCATTGTGTTGCAGAACTGGTACTGTGATCAAGTTCATTGTCAGCTCACAGAGAGGGAGAGGAAAAGGGTAAAGCAAACATGTCTGATGGGCAATGGCATACCAAAATTACTTACAAGTGACAAGTTTTTTGCTCTGGTCCAAGAGCATGGGCAGCGTATTGCAGTGCTTGGAGCTGCTAAGGAGCAGAGGGCGACAGGGCAGAAGGCATATGAGGAGGCAATGGCTATGTGGAACAATGCAAAAAAACAGCAAGAGCAGGTGAACAAGCCCTGCAGATGGAATGGCAGGCTGAGAATGAGTACTACAAGCCCTGCAGATGGAATGGCAAGCTGAGAATGAGTGCTACAAGATTGAGAAAGTGGTAGCTAAGGCTGAAAAGCAACCTTGCAACTTACCTAAACCTGCTGGCATCCATAGTCATCTTTTGTGTAAGGTCTCCAAGCCAGTTTGCAAGATGTTCCTGCCTTCCAGGACTGCTGGAGAGGGAATGGACAGGATGTGTGAGGGGGAGGAGGATGGAAATGGATTTGGTGATTCAGAATCATCTGAAGAGGAAGACTAGTTAGAAACAGTGACCAACAGTAGTAATTGAATACTTCAGCTCACCTTTAATCAATAATTATTTCTAGCTTGTCATACACTGTTCAAGAGGACAGGAGCATCAAGGGGGAAGAGAGGGCAAATGTGAATGTGAGGCAGTGAGCAGTGGCAGCAAGCAACCCACGGGCAAAACTGTGCTTCTGTGTGACCCATGGCTGTCAAAATTGGGACTTATTTCCAAATTTGGCCTTGTCACATGTTATCATGGCTGTGCAGGCTGATGGTGGTTGGGTTGGGTCAACGCAAAACCATTGCTTCTAGTCCTGTGCTAAGGATTTGTGTTTGAACAGTTTGTGGATTTATTCTATGATAGAAAACTGCACCGCAAGCTCCAGAACCAAATTTTGAGAGAAGAGAGTAACACAAAAATATTCCAGAAAATCAAAAAATTTGCCCATTTGTTCTAATGTGTAATCCCAGTATGTTGCCCATAAAAATCTAGCATTTTCTGCTGCTCTGGCTCTTGCATGCCTCAGGGAGCAAAACATAACAAAAGTAAGTGATAGTCTCTTGTATAGTTTGTTGTATGTTACTGCACTTTGCAATAAAATGCAGAATTGTACACATTGTCCAGGTTGGACTCCGGAAGCAAGAACTTGTTCCCACACTTGCGGGGATACTTGCTTGCATTGTTCACATGTGACATGATACAAGACACATGTTGCATGTTGGGGAACTCAAGAAAGTCAACAGTGTTATTAGTTTATGGAGTCCCTCCAGGAAGCTCTGACATGCAGCTTCATTCAATGTTGTAATTCTGTGATTTATTGCAAAGTGCAGTAAAGATAGATATAACTAGATTCACATTATCTCATCATATTCCACATCATTCCACTCATTACTTTGTTATGAGAGGAGTGCCACCTTGTAATTACCCTGAATAATAAACAGATAGATTGTACAAAAACTAATAGTGTTTTGAAAAGGCTCAAGATTAAATGAATGATTATCACTATTATTCAATATCTGTGTAATAAAATTGATAATGATGGTTTTACAGAGGAGTAGACATCCAGTCATGGAAGAGCTGGCCATGTACAGTGACCCAATTTTTTCCTCTAACTTTGTGAACTCTGAGAATAAAAACAATCTACAATCTCAAGCATATTCTATAGACTAGTTTTCTTCTATTATTATGTCTCCCCTGTTATTTGCTGCTGCTATATCAGTGACAGTAATCAATACATATTTTGATTCCATGAATCTTGAAAATCTGGGTGTACCTTATCCAACAGACATTTTGGTTAGGATAACTACTACAGAGCTTGAGCACCAGTTGACATCAAAGGGTAAAAAAGTTCAGTTTATCAAGCATTTCAGACATTAGTGAATAGTTTAATGTTACTGTCTTTTTACACAGCCAGACAATGGTTTTTATATTCAGGACTGTAAAGATCTGTGTATATTTCATCAGAGGTTTTTTTAAAGTATGAAAACAATTCACTGGTATTAATAGTCTTGAAAATTAGCAACAGAGTTTAAAAACACTTGAGCTAAATAATGCTGATGGCAGTCACATGGCATTTTTGCACAGATATGGCATCTGCCATGAGAACCTCACTCCCCATGTGTATTAGTGCATGCTTGGATAGAGCTGAGATTCTGAAGGAGTGTGTTTATCAGATAAGAAATTTTCTATCATATTCACCTTTCTCAATACAACAGATATGGCCTTCAGGTATGTATCACCTTGAACATGGTTTGACACAACACAGATTATCTGATGTATTTTGTGTCTTAAGGAGATGGTGCTCCAATAGATGTTCATTTTTTTTGGCTTGCACCATAGGCACACTCATGACATGAAGACTAGATAACCAAAAAAGTAAACTTTGAAGAGTGGGTAGTTGGTGAAGATGTGGTCAAGGTGGTGATTTTGATCTTGTCTTTGGATGAACAATGCTTGAAAAAAGTGGTAAATTATGCTTGAGAGGAAATGTGGGGATAATCCTTGGGCCTGCTGGCCACAAAAAAAACTGATCACTCAAGTACTCACATGTTTTACTAGTCTTGACCTTGCATAATCCTATGATAGTTTCTAGAGTTATCTATTAAAAACCTCAAAACATGCACCATGCAGGTTATTGATTCAGACTAGTATTTGTAGTACTATCTATTTCAACTTACAGTGCTGCCCTTGGCAGCTTCCAAGGTTAATGATTGCTCATGTCCATGTTAAAGGCTCATTACATAACAAACAGCTTAAGTTCTTAATAATATATGATGACTATGCAATATTGAGCATATTAGAAGTAAAATAAATGAGGCTATAGATGCCAACTGCAGACTCAAAAGCAGCATCAAACACATTTGACATAAGTCAGCACTGTCTTCACTGCTAACATCTTCCTACCTCCTAATAAACTTGCTTACTGTTAACACTTTTTTGCCTCTCAACAAACTTGCTAGATATGGTAAATAATAAAATAAATAAATGAAAACCTTGTATTGTGTTGAATATGCACCCTCCAATTAAACTAAGTATAGAAGTGAACACATTTTGACTAAACAGCCTGATTTTTTTTTGAAACATGCTGCTTCTATTGTCTGGGCTCAAATCCACGTACCAGTATGTGATATAGTATTACCTTAGCTGTTGTGAGCTAATACAGATATAAATAGTTCCATTAATAAAGGAGAACCTCATTCAGGCTCTGGTTTTAATTACCATGGTGAATCATTTTGATATATATATAAACACAGGAGGTTTAGCAGGTCAGCCTCAGCACTGACTGGTACTTTTATATGCAGTGCATGGCATTACTGAGACTGCACCACACGTAGGGTGCTCAAAATATGAAGGCTTACTTAGATTCAGTTTACAAACTCCATGGATTTGCCAGCTTGAGGGTAAAAGATCAAGAACACATTTGTAAAACTTGGATTGTTGAGAACATTAGTAAAAACAATAGAAAGCAAATCTTTGACTCAAAGTTCCAGAAATTAATTGGTATCAGCAATGAGATGAAAGTTGCTGCTATTCAGGCTGTACTCATATGCTCTAGCAGGCCTGAAACCAATGTATGGTGAAGTTTGTCTTTTAATCTGTCTGTGACTTATTTGACATGCATACAGAAGAACTCAACATTAAACACCAGGAATTCTGCTCTAGTTGGCCAAGAAAATCACCAAGAAGAACATCTTTGCAGAGATTTCAAGAAAGAAGGCATGTTCTCCTCAATCATTTCAATAATGTTCTAATGTTTATTGTGCACTAGACTCATGTTGATACAAAGGATTTTGGGGGTAGGGCTGATACAAAAAACTCAAAACTTCATGCAGCAACAGTTTTTTTTTTTTGAACATTCATCTGCTTTTTACTGACGTTTGCGTTCAGCCTTGCCAACGCAAAAAATAAAAATAAAAATAGATGCCCCACAGGTGTGCCAAACGTGCACACGCCAAGCCTATCTGCAGGTATGGCAATGACCTGCGCTGCACGCTTCTCGACACGTTGTTTCGGTCCTTGACACCATAATGTAGGGCGGGACATTTGTGAAGCCTGTGATACACACCCAAATGATGTGCAAGAGGTCCTACTGTAAAGTGTTAAGGTTTGTTGTGTTTAATCATTGTTAAAAACTGGTTTTCAAGGCTTACTGCCATAGCTGGTATTTTTCAATTTTTAATTTTGCGTCAGCAAGGCCAAACGCAAATGTCAGTAAGCATTTAAGTATTGTTTTTCTGATCATTATAATGTTTAGTACCAATTTTCAAGCTTCTCCTGCTTGATTCACTTTATAAAATCCTTCAGCAGTGTTGTAACTATACAATGCTATCTTGCATCTTCAGCCTATAGTATATGTAGTTAGGTTTATTGTTTGCAAAAGTCCCAAAGCTTGTGATGTGCCACAATTGTAGAGTATCAACGGTGCTGATGCATGATATTTCTGGCAAAAACAATTAACAGAAAGGTGTTTGTCATATAGTTAGATTTATTGTGCAAAAATACCAACTAGGAGGCTGCACATACAAATGAGTGGTTAGATGTGTGAGGAATAAACCAAGCTTGAAGGTGACTATGACCATAGGCTGAAGGTTGGGTGCAAATTAGTGTACCATGATGCCAATATTGGAGGAAACTGCATTGCTCTGATGCTATTAGATGTCATAGTACTTTCACCACCCTAGCATCTTCTGGTCCAACACCAGCACTGTAACACTATTATTGTCTGACCTAGGACTGGGCTTGCCTAATATCCACTGATATAAAACTGTATCTGTGACCCCAGCTCATGCAATAAGCAAGGATGTTCTGCTGTCCTGATGCAGATTTGTTACTGTACTTTTCAGACTATAACAATGTTCCCCTGTCTACCTCCCCTCCAAACACAACTTCTGAGGGCAAACATGTCTGCCTTCAAAAAATCCTGTCAAACCTAAATAAGTAAACATCTGGTAGACACACAAAAAATCTTCATCATTCAAGTTAGATACAAATGTAATGAACTCATGTTAATCTATTGATCTAAAAAATCCTTATAAAATTTGTTCCAAGTACAGTATTGCTTGCCTCAAACAAAAAGCCCAGCAGAGGTTCTTGTGCACAATCCTCTAGATGAAAGATTCCAAGGAGAGGAAAGGACACATACTGAAGATGACATACAGAAGCTTGGGGGTGTGGTGGTAAATATAGATGAGTATAGTGGTACATATGGAAGCAATAAACATGGAAATACCAGCAGCACAAAAATATGCCAGCTGCTTGAGAATGGCAGTGACAAGTTCAGGGTGAAGAGTCTGAATTAATGTACAAACAATGTTACAAGATAGTCTGATAAATAAATCAATAAAAAATGCACCAGTATGCTGCCTTGAAAGACAGGATCTTGAAGTTTGCTACCTGTTCTAATATCTGCCAATATTGAGTCCTTCCAGCATGGCTCTGGTCTTGTACAATTAATCCATCGCCCAATGACCTGTGGATGAAGCTTGGAAATTTGATGAGGGTTGATAAGTTAAAGGTAGTGAATAATGGTGTAAGGAGATCAGCTACTAATGTGAGCAGCATGGTCAATTCACTGGAAAATAACTGAGTACATCCAATTGTACCTCTGAGCCTTGGCTGTATTGAGCTTGTACTTGCAACCATGAGAGTTGTGTATGGGTTGAAACAGCTTTATGAACTGTTGATATGGGTGTAATATCTTGGTGATGGTCATTGTGAGGAATGCACTAACAATAGAGGGTACTTTTGAGGCAATGGAGATGGCAACAGTAATGGTGACAGCAGTCTTAGAGCAAATACTGGCCTGGTTACATTCAAGCCAGTATAGACATGGAGAAATAAAATAATATTACCTGTTGGGTTTTCCTGTACTGACAATAGTGCTTCTTTTTTTCTTGCTCTTTGTCTTTTCTGTGCACCATGTGGGCAAGTGTCTTCAACATTGCAATGTGTTTCACATTTGTGGCCTTATCTTGTGCTGCAACCATGTAATCAGGTTTTGAGTGGATGTGTAATTCCTTGAAAGCACCCTTCAGACTCTCATCTCAATATAGACTAGTGCTGGCACTATCTTGAGTGGATCTGGTCTATCTTCATTATCTTGTGTTGTCCTTTTTTTCTTTGGCTTGGAGCTGCTACAGGATGCCCACAGACAGACACCCTTGCAGGTGTAGTGGCAGACTAAACAAGACTTTCCAGATGGCCCAATACACTGTGTAGTTTTCCAGAGCCAGTACAAACACAGATCCCTGTGCTCAATTGGATACTTGGAACAATTCAGGTCTGTTTTCACTCAATGCATGCTGTCATCAATGTTTTTCCTTGGTTTGAGCTTCAAGCCCTCCACGTACTTATTTGTGCAAGGACTTGCCTCCCACTCTTTATCTGATTTTCTATTTGATGAGCCATCTAGTTGCTGATCTGAGTTGCTGCCTGTCCTGTTGCTGCCTCGGGTAGCACTTGGGCCAACAGTCTGGAAGGGTATCTGAATCACAACCCTGTCAAAATGCTTTCAAGCTACCTTGAACCTGTTTGGAGGGGCCAGGGGTGCTACTAGTTGCACTGCTGAATGCAATCAACAATGTTGATTTTTTGGGTGCAGTTAAAACCCAGTTTGGGTCCACTTGCGGGGTCTGAGTTAGGGCCCAGCTCTTGGGGCTTTGATGGAAGTTGCATGATTTTGTTGAACCTGGGAGAACCTGGGGTTGCCTCAAGTCTGAGCTGTGTTACAAGTGCACCTTGCCTATTACCATGCTCCACAGTAACAAGTCCTCCTCCAATTCTGCCTCTAGGTGCTCAACTTGCTTGACTCATGCATCTACTCATCACAAGACCACCATCGCTGCTGCTTCTGCCACTTCTGCCTCCCACCAGCCCCCATCCAAGAACAACAAGAGTAAACTATGGACTGATGAACAGGTTCAGGTGATGCTTGATGTTCTCTTCAAGCAAAAGAACACACAAGGTGAAGGCTCAAAACTTCAAGGATTGGATCTGGCAAAAAGTGCTGGTAGCAGTCAACAAGATGCACCCTGTAGGAGATCCAAAACATTGTCATCTCATTAGCTGCATTGATAAGTATGCTACTGTAAGTTGTTATTTATGTTTTTGATAATGACTAATTCATCTATATAGCTGAAACTTAATTGGAGGGTGTGGAAGGGACTTCAATACCTCTTGGGTATCCCCCTTGATGAGGCAACTGGTTTCAGCATGAGTGTCAGCTCCGCTGCACTCAAGAACCTCAAGGAGGTATGTGTCATCCCCTTCGCGTCTTTTTCTTGTTCAGTTTTTATTTTTAATCTACATTATTCAAGGGTCACCTGGATGCCAAATAAATTACCCAAAAGGGTTTTCCATGGCATGAAACAATGTCTACTATCAAGTCAAAGGACCAGCCAACTGATTGCCATATCTATCTACCAGGGAAATTCCACTTCACCACCGACACCACCTCTTCTACAACTGCCGCCAACACTCCTCACACCACTGTTTCTCCTCATGTCACTACTTCCAACACCAATGCTACTGGTACCTTGGTGACCACTGCCTTCAATATGTCTGATTTGACCTCTGTTCCACCCATGAATTATCAGTGCACTTCCGGCCCTGCATTGCAGATTGCTGACCCCAATATGATTCCTCCCTCTGCCCCATCCTCCTTTGCAAACACACCCAGTGCTGCTGACAGTAATCAGGCTATGAGTAGCATCAGCAAGAGCTTGAAGAGGAGACACAGTGTCCTTGATCTTCCCAACAGCATCCCCACCGGCTCATGTCCAGGCTCTGTTGTCAGCAGCAGCAGTTGATCAAAAAGGCTCAGACTTCTTGAGATGTAGCAAGTAGCAATATCCATAAGCTTAAGGAGAAGATCATGCCTCTCATCAATGTCATTACAGCATCATCTCCTGTTTCAAAGATGGCTGTTGAGCGCTCAGTAGAGATGTTTAACTTACCTAAGTACATGTTACCGTCTGAAAACCACTATTGCCTCATTCACTTCTTCAGCAAGAACCACAATGCCGTGGCAGTATTTGTGGCAACAGGTACTATTGATATGAGCCAGCTATTACTCAGGGTTGCCCTCAAGGCAGTTGCCAGGAATCCAGAGCTGTTCAAGTTTGGTTTCAATTAGACTGACCTCAGTTGTATTCACTTTTGTCATCATTGTCATCCTGTTATCATCATTGTTTAGTCATTGTTGTCCTCGTCTCATTGTCTTGTCATTGTTATTGTTATTGCTATCATTGTCACTGTAGCTGTAATTATGTTGTAGTTTTGTTATCGCCATCACTGTTTACATGTTTGTCCCTATGCTATTATGAATGATATGGTCATTACATATACTACTCTACAGGGAGTCCCTGCTGAGCCTGCTCTACAAGATAATCATTCCACATCTGCTCAGCAATTTTGTCCCTCATACTCTCTGCCTCCCTCCTCTCTTAATTGCCAACTGGAAAATGTTGTAAACCCTTGTTTTCTTCAATGTATCATGCTGGATCCAGCTCTGCAGCATTGAGTTTTTCATTGCTCTGCAGAAATTCTATCTCACATTCCAAGTATTTATCATTAAAAATACAAATCCAATTGTGGAGCACACAAAGAGCAGTGGGAATCATTGTCTACATGTTGAGGTTGCACTGCGGTAAACATTTAATGATGGTCCATTGGTGTTTGAAGACTCCAAATATCCTCTCAATGACATTCTGCAGATTGGTATATCACAAATTGAAAAGTTCCTTTTTGTTTCTTGGACTAACATTTAAAAAATCAAAAAAAAATTCCACAACACATTATTACATACCGTGTATTGTCACAATGCCATTCTTGCAAGTGATAGCAAGTTGCATGGTATGGAACCATGAGAACAGAACAAATACAAAAACCTACATCTGCAAGAAAATATTTTCCAGCAGGAACATGGAGATTCAGTGCACAAGCTGTATGCCACAATGTAGCATCATTTGCGGAGCCAGCAGAATCACATAGGCAGTATGTGGAGAAAAACTCAAATTGCAAATAAACAAACAGTTCTGAGACAATGTACTCTTGCAGTTGCAGTGTGTCCAGTGCTCATCAGGGTTTACTATGGAGACTGTAATGTGAGTCCTGTCAACAGCCCCAAGTGCATCAGCAAAGTAGCAGTACTTTAGATTTAATATGATCCAAGCTGATGCCCAGTAAGAACTGGTCAGGAGCCAGTCAGCTGTGATGTGTTTTAGTTGATCCCTATATAGAAATGATCTAGATCACGTGGAAAGCTGATCAAAATTGCCCTGTGTACCATCTTGATGAAATTTTGACGCAAAAAAAATATCACACATAGTTTGACCAAGAATAATCAATTAAAAGTAGATAGAACCACGCTGGAGCAGATATTTTGGTATAGCCACGTCTAGAACTGCTGGATAGTCGGATCGATTCTGATTGATTTTGATCTAGATCACACATATTTATAACCATTTCGCACTAGATCACCATCTAGTACATATGTTATTACAGCCACCCAGCCATGCTATTAATACAGTACATACAAACAAAAGAACAAGTACAAAAAATGTACAGAGTCATCGGGACTCTGTCAGAAATCAACCAACAATGAGAGAGCCATCCAAAAAGGCGGCATGCGAGCCATAGACGAGCGAGAGAGTGACAAGAGGAAATATGCAAGGGCAAGAGCTAGTATATGGTTCCGTTGAGGAACTCATCGCTGTCAATATTCCAGCCGCTCTTCTTCTGTAGTTTAGGTAAGAACCTTGTGTGAGCGTAATGAATGGAATTAAATGTACCAGAGTCTCCGTGTCCATGTTGTAAGACTACAGGGATAATTAGAGAACATGCTATGAAGAAGAAAAGCAGACATGTACCTCTTGCTGAGTCTTACTGAGTTTACACCAGTAGCTTGAAAATTCTTTTGTGGTTCCTTTTGTTTTGTCCGTGGCTGTGTGCTTGAGCCACCGAAAGGTGCACAGGTTCTTATAGAGCAAGGTTAGTACACAAAACAATGAAATAATGATCTTACCGTCCGGTCTTGGCTTTGGTCGGTTGATAGGATTCAAAATCCACATTGAAAGCAATTCCCTCCGTGGCAGAGACGGCCTTGGATGCACTGCTTGCGGGTGTCTCGGCAATCTCAGTGGGCTTGGTGGGAGTCTTGCTTTCGGAGACGGTCGAGGTGGGCGGAGCAGGAGTCAATGCCTGCTCCGCTTGCTCAGAATGGGTGTCAGGAGTAGGCGAGGCGATAGGAGTGGGGACAGCAACGGGCAGCAAGGGCTTGGGTGTCGGCTTCTTGCCCTTGCTGCTTGGATTGCTGTCCCTTTCCTTTGTCTCAAGGCCCTCCTTGCGCCTCGCCTCCGCTGCCTTCATCGCCTCTTTGGCGCCGCCAATGTTCTTATTATAGTCCTAGTACAAATTAGAAATAGTCCAATAAAAATATAGTGACTTACATGCTGCGAGGAGGGATGAAGTGCCTGCACTACGGGAGCTTGGATGGTGGTGACAATGCACAAGACGCAGTGTGTGTCTCCTTGAGGGGCGCCGACTTGCTTCGAGTTTGTCTGGCGAGGGAGGAGAGGTGAGGTTGAGACAGGGACGGTTTTGTTGCGCTTGCATTCATGTTGAGGGTGTCAGTGTCATTGTCAGTGCCATCCTTGGACAACGCAGGCTCACGTCTTGCTGGAGAGGATAGATATATGAGTAAGAGAAAGAGAGAGAGAGAAAAAGCCTACCTTTTGCGTATTTTGGCGCTGGCGGGGAAGCGCTAGCATTGTCGCCATCACCAATGTTCTCAGCTGCAAGGGAAACATGAGTGAATAACAATGCAAAAGAGAAAGAAATGCGTACCTTTACGCTTTTTCGATTCCAAAATACCCTCCAAATTCTCCTCCTCCTTCTTGACGCCATCTTCGGAAGAGATCTTGAAGCAGCCGTTATTGTCAAGGTGGTTGGTCTTGAAGCCCAGGAGATTGACCGAGCACAACCTGTTGAGTTTCCAGTGACCGAGGCAAATCCCAGCCCACAGGAACTGCACCTCAATCCTGGTGATGAAGTCAGTAGCCATGTTGTGGGGAGTCTGCTTCCACTTGAGCGGACAGCTGGGGCCATTCATGGCGGTGGCCCACTCCCTCCAGAGCTGCTTCATCGAGACTCTGAGAGATTTGAGCCTCGCCTTACCGATTGGCTTGCCATCCTCGAGCTTGAAGTATCCTTGAGATCCGTGCGCAAGAGCCTGCGTGTTAGCCGTGGTCAGGTAACCCTTCTTGCCATCTCACTTGCCCTTGGTGTAGAACTTGATATTCTCGTACTTCTTGCAGAACTCGAGCTCGTCGAAGGAGGGAGGGGAGACAGGGCCGGCAACAAGGGCCGGCTGGGCTTTGGATGTGAGCAGAGAGTCATAGAGTTGCCTGTAAATAGTTAGCACTTGTTATATGCACGCATACATGAATGAAAACTCACTTTATGATGTTGTACTTGCCCTGGAGGATGTCTCTCTCCGTTCGCAAGCAGGCATTCTCCTCGTTGGACAGCCGGAGCGGGTCCAGCTGAGGTACAGAGGGCAGGGCTGTGACCTGCATATATGTGGCCTAAAACATACGTGTGAGCAATTTAAACTCGAGACAAACGTACTTACATTATTGATCTGGCCTGAGGTGGCGAGGTACTGAGTCCACAGGGTGGGGTCATTGAGGAGTGTGGTCATGCCGCCATTTAAGGCAGCATGCTGGGAGGGAGTGGGTGTGCCACCCACATGTTTTTTGACAGGGCCATGGTAAGAGGGGAGGGAGGGGGATGAGGCACTGGAGGGTGTATAGCCAGAGGAGCTAGGGAGGGAGTGCTCGTACATGGTGGTGTGAGGGAAGAAGTGGGAGGGAAGAAAGCGAAGGGATGATGCAAAGGATTAGAGAGAAGAGATAGACACGAAGGTTTTGATGATGTCAGGGGCTATCCATTTATGGATGGAAGATTGTGCTTGCCGATGCACGTCGGTCTCGGGATGGAAGCAAAGCCAGGAACCAGGGCATGCAGGTAATTGCTGCTTTAACTAATGAAACTTTTAACCTTCGACTCAGTGGCTGAGGCTCTCAGACTGCTTGGAGGGATCGTATGTCACAAAACAATGTATTATACAGTAGTCTAATCCTGAGGGAAGTCTAGACCATCTTTGTCTGGACCCTCTGCTTCCTCCCAATCTGTGTATGTAGCTACATCCATACCAGGTTTCTCCATCATATGACATCTAAGTTCTTCTTCCTCTGTCTCCGGCAAAGTCAGCCTGTGTGGAACTATTGCAAAAACACCAACGATCTGTTTGACAGGAACCACCAGAGGGTGTTGATGTCCGAGAGCTCTGCACGACCATACGGTTTGTGCGGATAAGTCCATCAAATCTCTGTCTGGGAGGGAGTATAGCCAGATAATTGCTACTCCTTCCCAGCGATAGTTTCCAGTACTTTGCTCAGCTGGCACAGCCAGCTGAGCAAAGTACTGGACCTCCCCAAGGTACGTCTTGCCGTTGTCTATAAACTAGAGACGCTTGTTAGTGTAGGAACAAATTTATAAGCCGAAATTTACCTTGACATTGTGTGCAATGCGAATGTTTTGTTGGATGTAAGTGTTCTCTCTCCAAGCAGAGCGAACAATCTGGCTGTTAGCAAGTTTTGCACATCCCCAGAGTCAGAATTCGGGGGCATCACAACCAAGGAACTTCTCGATAGCGGTCCTCTTGGCTCCTTGAGGTTTGTACAAGCGTTTTGAGTGTTTGTGAAGCAGTGCAAAACCATCTCCGAGCTTGTGACGAGGTGCCAAAGATGGTGCTGGCTCGGGATTGAGTTCTGGAATGAGAGCTTTGAGACAATTTACCTGGCATTGTTGTACGGCAATCCGAGACAAATTAGAGTACATCTTTAACAGCTGACAAAGTTCCTGGCCGAGGTTACCGATTGTACGCTCCATGGTCCACTGTGAATAGATTATCGGTGGGCCCTTATTTATTACCTCAGAAACAAGGTGTAGAACCTGGTGCAGGCTCTGTTGGATAAAAGCAAGACAGTTCTCATCTCGTCCATAGTATTCCTGCTCAAACTCAACATAGAAATCATCAAAGCACTGTTGTGCCTCCCGAAGATTGTGCTCAGAAATCAAATGCTGGCATATGAGACAGAATCCTTGAACGAGCAAGCAGTAGTTCACCCAGAATTTTAACGGCAGAACCTCGTAGAGTAGCACTGGCCCTAGCCCGAAGAAATAGATCTGCCATTCCCAAGTCTTGTAGCCCAAAGTAATTTTCTCAGCGATGTTTCAAGGCTTCCTGTCCATCAGACTTGGAACATGTCGCCCAGTGTTGTTGACCTCAGCACCATGAGCAGCCCAGATGTCAGGATCTCCGAAGACATTAAATTCCCAGTCTGCGGGATCGTTGTTCTTTACGTGAGCCGCTGTGCCTTGCCATAAAGAAATAAAAAGAGAGCTCAGTAGCTGCGCCAGATGCATAATATCTGGCGTCATGCAGCGAGGAACCAGCAGTGTGTGAGTGGGATTGAGGCCTAGAATAATGCTGGGCTTTGTGAGACCAGTCAGCATCTTGAGTTTCTGATATTTGGTGTTGTTCAAAGTGCTGACGATCTTGCAAAGATTATCTGCATACTCTGTAGATGCAGGCCAAGGAAGCTTGTATATAGGGACATCGGGGTGATCTGAACATCTGACAGCATTTAGAGGTCGTAGTAGAGCAGGATAGTAGTGATTCCCTCAGTTTTTTTGTCACACTAGAAGCCCACAGTAAAGTTGGCAGCCATTCTTGCCATTATGACTGCACCTTCCATCGTAGTATACAAGCCCCGGACCATCCGCTGTAGTGAACTGATGGTAGATATTGCGTACATCGTCCTCCTCCTCAAGACAGCCATCGCAGACATGAAGACCTTTGTGTTGAATCACCGAGAGATGATGATAACCTGGAAATAAAAATGAGTTGATGCCTTTGGGCACATTGGTACCAGGAATAACACGGCTGATTAGAACATATTTCTTCTTATAATGCCTGTCCGGCGAGTACTCTTCAATTACCCAGGTGTAAATCCATGCGTCGGACTGCTGGGATCAATATAGCTGCGTGCCATCCATTGAAGATGTGACTAGGATTGATTTTTTTGGTGATTATTCCAGCCTTGACCGCATCGAGATAATCCATGCCCATAGTATAATCATCCCAGTAGGTTACCTTGCCACTGTTAGCCTCGATCATTGCTAATACTTGCTCGGTTTTTTCAACTCAGTACTTCATTAGTTTTGCAGTCTCCGGATTTTGGAGGATAGCCTGTATCATAAAACCTAATAGATCTGTCTTGAACTGATGAGAGACACGTTCCCCAGTAACCTCAAATATGAAAGGATTGTACTGTGCCTTGTGGCAATAAGGACACGCGTCCAGATGCTCATGCTCACCAGTAAACCCACAGCAGGAATCTCAGCACATGTTGTGCTTCACAGTGGTGACGCCGGTAATTTCTCGTATCCGTTTCTCAACTTGGTGGAACACTAGCATAGGTGGGATTTCAGGGAAGCAGTCCGCATGAGAAATACGGATGCTTTTGTATGTTTTCTGCAACGAGTGTTCGAGCGCAAGGTATGCTCGAATACTGTGACGCTCTCCGGGACCATCAAGAGTGACAATGCCGCAAGGAGGATTTCTGAGTCGGTACCGAGTAGCCTCGTCGAGCTTCGAACAAGGATCCTCGAGGGTAGTGTTCCTGACTCGAGTAACAAAGCTCATGTTAGTTTTCATAGTGCTAAGCTTTGCTAGATGCAAGAGCTCTTCGATGTCTGGCTGAGGGTATTCTCAACGTGATGGGTATCTCAGCTCTGGGAGTGCCTTTGCATGGGCTTGGTGGATAAGTTTCTGCATTTCTGTCTGCAGAGGCGCTTGTTATATGCGCATATATGCAGGGTTAAAATTGAATTACTCACAAAGACCTCGGGCTTGATGCTTTCATGACCGCATTCTGAACCATTTGAACTGTCCATAGGATCATCTAGTTCCTCTGAACCCCAGGGATATTGATGAACAGGTGCGTCTTCATCTAGAATTTCTTCAACATGAGCTCTAAAATTGGCCAGGTCGTCTTCCTCTTCCTTGAGCATCTCAGAGACCTTCTGCCCATCCGAAGAGTTGTCCCGGATGTCAGTACCATCGCCAGAGTTGCCTAGAGATCGAGCATCTGTGTTTCCAAGACCAATGGGAGCCTCCATAGACTCAAGTTCGTCTACAAGCTGTTGTGGGCCCCAGACCAGTGTGTCTTTGTCTTCTACAAGCCTATCCAAGGGCATCTCACCTTCTGCAGCAAGCTCAGCTACGCTAGCAATATAAGGAAAGGGCCCAGCATATGTAAGATCATAGCTGAAATCAATCAGAAGTTGCCTAGTATCTTGAGGATAGACAGAGATGTGCTGATAGAACAACGCATTAGAAACGCTGTGAGGATGTCCTGAGTTGTGTTCAGCACATATGCAGAGCCGTCTGGCTTGTGTTCTGGAGCTCATTGACTGAAGAGATATGTTAGTGTTTGCTGCACATATAGACAGGGGCTTATTACACAATGTAGAGTGTTCGGACTTAGTGTTTTTGACGACAACAAGAGGATCAGATGAGGAGAAGGTGCTTTGATTTTTAAGGCAGAACAGGTAATTGATTTCTATTCGAAGTAGATAGCTAGTAGATACAAAATCGAAGAAACTAGATGGATGCAACTGCTTTCTTGACGCGTTGCACGTCGAATCTTGATCGGAGCCTCGGCTCGCTTGATGCCGCCAGATCTGATCAATTCTCCATATAGATTGCTTCTATTCTATATCACACATTTTATTTCTAGATCACGCCATATGGTGCTTGACTGGCACTCGGCCAGTTCTTACTGGGGCTGATGGTGGTGTCAGGGAAGTCAGGAGCTGGACATTGCTGGTGTGGAATGGATTGCTGGCAAAGAAGCTCAAAATATGCTTAAAATACCTATAATATTAAATTACACTTGTCAGAGCTACTCCAAAATAAATAAATAACAATATACCAAGTAACAGTTTCACCAGAACATTGGAAGTGCTCACTGACATGTACAGTCAGGAGTCCTGTAATGCATGTATACAGAAAGATAGCAAGCTGCTCCTCAACCAAAACACCATTTCAGAAGTCAGCAAAGCAATTGGCCTGAAGGAGCTAGAATTAATTTCAATTTTGATCAGCAATCCATTTACTAAATTGAGGTTGAAATTGAATTGAACTTTGACAAGCTTGAAATTTTGGGGAACAGTAACACCAAGATCTTTGCGCATGCACTCAAGATGACCTGTGATGAGCTCCAGAACCCACCTCTCACCAGTCATGATTGAGGTTTAGTATGAAACAGGGGCAGTAGCACCAGTAAATGCAGCTGCATAGAGTTGGATAATTTCTAGTACAGCAAGAAGAAGTAGAACCAAAAGTTGACAGTGTTTTTCAGCTTGGTAGGCAGCAAGTTCAGCTTATTGTCAAGTCTGGTCCATGGCCAGGGTGGCGGTCTTTCAAGGGTCAGAATCACTCAAGTTTCAGCATGCCTCTAGTATATATGAAGTGGCACACTATGATAGCAAGTATAGTACTCAATTATGTGCAGAAAAACATCAGAGTTGTGCTATTAATGTATTACTACAAGAATGTACATTAATTTTGTTATTACTTTCACGTGTGAGTAAAGTTGGAGGCACTACTTATGAGGCTGAAATTTGCTTACATCATCCTAGTTTGTGTGGAATTCCCTATGAGAACACATAACAAGGAGCCAAAAGTCTCTGAGGGCCCAGAAGGCAGGAGGAGTTTGCATGCCTGAACTGGGTCTAATGCCATGCATGTATCTTCCTCCTCATTGAATGATCCATCAGACCACCATTGCCCATGGCCTACAGTCTACCACCACAGGTTCAACCCAACAGTGGTAGGATCCTCATAGCCAGGGGAGATACAGAGGGACTGCGGTATGTTAAACACATTAGAGAACAGATGGGTAACAGGACTCAGGATGAAATTGCAGAAGGACATGGGCATGGCAGATGGAAAATTGCAGCAAACATCAAATGGAAGTTATTCTTGACATGTTGCAGATTGTCAATAAGGCAAAAGGTAGAGCCAGGATAGTCCACAGGAACAAAACTATAGAGCAGCAATGCACATGTACATTGGGGAAAACTAGATTGATCAAACAGAGAAGCATGCAGTTTGTGTCAGAGTGCGCCCAGCACCTCTGCATTGCTCCTATGCCCTTGGCACAGCAGCCCAGTCTTGGTACGCTTTCCAGCATTCCAGGGCACTTGGGTAAAAAGAGGTAAAACTTGCCTGTTGTGTGAGTTGAACCTAGAGCCTTGTGGTAGTGCCCAGAGCGCTGAAACCACTCAGCTATTGTGTGTTGAGGTATACTTCTACTTGTGTCTTGTTTATACCTCCACCACCTTCCTATTCCAGTATCTCGCGACTTTGCCCCTATTTCGCCTTTCTCTACTCTTTGGCTTGCTATGGAGAACTCCGAGCTACTGTACAGTTCCCAAACCTTATTTCTTTTCACCTATATAACCCTGGTGTCCACAGAGCGTCTCCTTGCTCACTGTTGGACACCAGGTCAGTATTTCGTCTTTATCAATACTACTTGCTCACTGTTGGACACCAGTGCCTCTTCTGACCCTGATACTGAGACGTGTCCTCAGGATCCTGACAAGGCTGAGGATGGAGAAGGCAGCTGGCGAGCCCTGTCTGAGGAACAGCGCATCCATGTCAAGGGCAAGGAGGATGACTCCATTGCTATGTGGGACGCTCTCCAGG